CTACATACGGGGTCCTGACTCTCCCGACTGTGCCCATCAGCTCAGGCGAACAGGCCTGCCCCCTTCCTCCTCTGGTCCCCACGCTTCCTCAAGGCTTCCTGTCACCTCCCAGTCACAGAGTGCTCTCAAGGGAAGGGGTGGAATTTGGTCCCAGTGACTAGAGTCTGGCTCCTCCGTTCCATTTCCATACCTGGGTGCTGTCGGGAGCCTGGCTCAATCCCAGCACCTGCTGTAGGGCCCTGGACACGATCTGCTTCCTCTTGTCCAGAAACTCCTGTTCCCCATCACAGAGGTCAAAGCCAAGACGCAGGTCAAGGTCCCCAGAGCTGCCGCAGGCGGGGTGGGGGTTTGGGTACTGGGTGACTATTCAGTAGAGGAGAGCCTCTGGCCAAACCCATTTTTCAGAGGAGTAGACCCACAATCTGAAAGACCCACCCTTAGAAAGATCCCATGGGAACCAGACCGCCCCAACCCCCAGCTGTGCCTAGCAGACAGAAGAGCCCCCACACTTCCTCACCTCATGTCTGCCTTCACATTCACAGCCACCTCCTCGCCCTGGAAGAGACCACCGCCCCATCCCCGAGCGCACTGAGTGGGATTCTTGCACCTGCAGCCCAGGTTGCTCAGGTAACTCTGGCCCAGATGTGGACGCCATGACTGAGCTCCAGGCTGGGCTGACTGTGACCCCCTCGCGAGCCCCTTCCCCCAGACACAGAGCAGGCAGGGGTCCCTTAGGTGCCCAGACAGAGCCTTACCTCGCCCAGGGCCACCAAGCGCTGCTGTTCCCGGCCTAGGGCCAGAGAGGACGGCAGGATGTGCCCCTCGCCCAGCTGGCTGGGCTGGGCCTCCAGCCCAGCACTCGAGCCACTCTGCAGAGAAGAAAACACAAGTGGAGGAAAAGGAGCCTTGGCGGTAGCCCTGGAGCGAGCGCTCCTCCAGGCTGGACTGATTCTGTCCTCTGCCCCTTTCTGGGCTCTGCCACTCACCTGCAGGACCATGAGCTTCTCTCTCAGCTCCACATCCAGCCTGGAGCTGAGCACTGGGTTCACGTGGAAGGTAAATGTTGCTGGGAGGCCTGAATCCACGGGAGGCCGCAGGGGCAAGAGCTGTGGCTTTTCATAGGCCCCAGGCACCGCCAGCCGAATCTGCCTGGAGCCTGGGAGCAGAGGGCCCAGGTGAGAGCCAGCGGGGGGTTGGGGGGTGCGGTGCGTGGCTTCTGACAGTAACACCCCAGGCAGCAATTCCCTTTTCCTTCCCCTTGGAAATGCCAGCTCATCACCCTGCTCACTCTGTGGCACTGTGTCCTACAGCAAAGGTTTCATGAAGGACACTTGGGGTCCCATAATCTGCCCGGGTAGAATGGGGAGCCTGGGGGAGTGGGGACACACAGTGGCTAGGAAAGGGCCCTGCCCAGGGCATATTGGGTTGATGATTTTGAGATTATTATATTAAGTACATAAAATAGAATTCTAGAATTATCATATTATAATGATCATATATTATTACATTAATTACCAGTTTTCAACTGGTGGTTCCCTCCTCTTGCCCCATTCAAGCCCCATGCTCATTGCCTTGGGGGAGGTTGTGGCCAGAGAGAAAGCAGAGGCTGCATGTTGTTCTGGCCTTTGTTTCCAAAGCGTGAGACCTTGGGAAACATAGAGGGTCTGCAGAGGAGGTAAAAGAAGTGGGTTTATGGTGCGGAGAGGATAGATAGGTGTCTTGGAGAAGCAGGGGAGGGCCAGCCCTGACTAGGTGAGTCCAGGCTGTAGGGAGGCAGAGTGAGGCCTGTGGGCCCAGGAGCAGGAAGGCCTCCCTGTTTTTAACAGCTTTCTGGGGAGCAGACAAGACCCCAGAAAGTGCCACACGTGACACCCAGGCAGAGGGGATCCCAGATGGACCCACAAAAGAGCCCCAGACCCCAAAAGCCTCAGGAACAGAGGTCCAAATGGAATCTCTCTCCCTGCACGTCCTCCCTGGCACTAGATGAGATGGGGGCCTTGACATGACCTGGGGTGGGAGGGAATGAGAGAAAATAAGGAAAGTGATACTTCTTTCAGACCACAGTTTATGGACTGGTATGTGCTGTTCACAGTCAGAAATAACAGAATCTGTGGTGGGGAGAGCAAACGGGCCCCAGGTGTTGCAGACCTGGGTCTGGTCCACGCTGTGGACTGAGAATGCTGCCTGCCACATCAGTCAACAAAGGATGCTGTGGCCATCAAGCCATCAGCCACGACAACTGCCCCTGAGGGGACTCAGGATGGGAAAAAACAGGATGCTGGCCCTAGACGGCTCAGGTGCATTTCAAAGGAATGATTTCAGTGAGCCCAGACTCTTGCATCTTCCTATACAGAGAAAAGCACTCAATTCATTAATTTGATGTCTGGTTTTCGTTAATAAGAGTAATCTTTTGATGTTCTGACCACCTGGTTTTTGTTGCAAAACTCCTATATATCCTAGCTCCTCCCCTCCCTCTTTGGAGCAGTCCCTCAGGGCGATCTGAGAGACGTACCTTCCCGGGCTAGAAATCCTCAGAAAGTCCTCGCAATAAAATACGATTCACAACTTTTAGATTGTGCTCTACCACTTACTGGCTGTGTGACCTTAAGCAAGTTTCTTTTTTGAGCCTCAGTCTCGTAAATTAAAAGAGGATAATGGTGGCACATACTTTATGACGCTGTCATGAGGATTAGAAAACAAAACACTGTAAAATGCATACCACAGCGCCTGACTCATATGAGTGCATGGTGCTACCTGGGCAGAACTCAGCCCATAGGCTCAGACTCTCCATGTCAGAGGGGACCTTAGCTGTTACACAGCCTCTGATCCCCTCCCACATGTGGACCCCCGCCTGTGCGGCTGCCCTCTGTGGCTGAGTGCGATGGCCTCTGTTCTTCACTTCTGGAATTCTTACTCTTTGCCAGGTGACCTCGGTTCCTCCCACTAAAGAGGCCGGCTATGTTCCTTGCCCTCCAGCTTAGGGTCAGCCTTGTGATGTTTTGGCTAGCCAAATGTTAGTGAGTGGTCACAGTGTGACCAAAGGCTTGAAAAGAACTTGCTCATTTGGGCTTGCTCTCTCGCGCCTCTTCTGATGCCTTAAGAACATGCCCAGGCTAGTCCGCTGGTCACAGGAGGTACATGGGGGACACAGGGAGCAGAGCCAGGTCCCCCCACCAAGCCCAGCCTAGACTGGCCAAGCCCCAGCTGACCACCAGATGTGTCTGCCACTGAGATTTTGTGGGTGCTATTGTTCAGCAGAGGTTGGACTGATACAGCCTCTGTGTGGGGCCAACTAGGGTCCTTCGAAGTCCAACAGTCCCCATTCCTGGGCTCTCAGATGTCTGCCTGTGATCCCTCAACAGATAAAGTAAGTTCTTTGCTGGGCGTGTTTCCCCTAACAAAGCAATAGCCCTAGGTAATGCCTAATCTCACAATAGCTCAGGCTTCTTTCAGCCCACTTTGTCAGAGTCATAAATCACCCGTTCACAGACCCACAACTTCTTACCTTACCGACCACAGATCAGAGAATTGTGTGCGTGCACAGCACCCGACCCATGTGTTCATCAACCCCTTACCCATAAAAGACCTCAACTGACCCTCAGGGCTCAAACAGGCACCTCTTGACTACGTGGCCCACAGCTGTCTATGGCAGTGTACCTACTAAACTTCTTTTAACCCCTCTTTTGTTTTCATCCTTCGTCTTTGGTAAATTCTTTTACCCCCTGTGACAGCAGCCCGCTGTGTCCCCTGACACTCTGCCTGAATACTTCCAGGGACAGAAATTCACTACTTCCAGAGGCAATACATTTTTCCCCTGGTCAAATTTAAGCAGTGAAAAAGTAAGCACTTTCTGCCCCAGACTCATCTTCTTGCAGCAGCCCCCAACCTCCCAGGAGAGAAGGCAAGACCCAAGGCCACTGACCAGACTCACCATACTCTTGATGTGGGGCTGTCCCATGTCCCCCGAGGGTGCCCTGGATTCTCAGGCAGGGCTGAGCCTGAGGAAAGCATAGGCCTGTGGGAGCCAGTCCACCGGCCCCGAACCAGGATGGATGGAAGGAGGCAGGAGGGGGGGTATCTGGGGCAGGACTGAGCTAACAACCTTCCCAGGGCTCGTGCCTTATGAGCAGGGGTCTTCTGTTGCAGCCCCCCTCCCAGGACTCGGAGGAAATGGCCCCTGGCGGGAGAGGAGGGGGAGGTGAGGGGCCTGACAGCGGCTCCTCAGCAGTCTCAGAAGCCAGGGGCCCAAGTGAGCAGTGTGCAGCACACAGGTGGGAAGTCTAGCTTCTGAGCTGTCCCGTCAGGTGGGAGGCAGCTTCCTGCCCCTCGTCCCTGGAGAGGTCTCCCCAGCACATCTCCCCTCGGAGGAGGGACTGAGTGTCCTCCAGAGGCAAGTGGGCATGTCGGGCTCAACCATGGACTCCTTACCACACCCAGCCCTGAGCAGCCCGAGCTGGCCTTCTCTACTTACCACCAGGACCCCATTGGTGATGACCTCAGACGCGGGCACCTGGCTGCAAAGGATGAGGGGTTCCTTTGGACATGGAACACCTGAACCCCTTGAGATGCCTGCTACTAAAATAATGTAACCAAAACAGCTGGAAGAGCCTGGGGAGTATGGCAGGGCCTGGGGCTTGGGATGGGCCTCGGCCAGGCCTCAAATGGGCGTCAAAATCAGAATATCCCCTCTTAGGCCAGGCCAGCACAGGACCTGGTGACTGACAGCTGGGAGCTGTTGGGGAGTCTAAGAGTAAACAGGAGGGCATCGACTCCACCTGGACTCACCTGTTCTTCAAAACAAATTCCACCCGCAGCTCTTGTGAATCCTGGAGGGAGGGAGCAAGGGAGCACCAATTTTCAAAGAGCTCCCACACAGCCTCAGGACCATCCCTGCCTCCCAGCCCTGCTCAGCCCCAGGGACGAGAAGGGGAGACCATTGTTGTGGCTACTCATGGGCAAAGGAGGGGGTAGTGGTATCGCCACACACACAGCGCTCAGCCCTCGAGGTCAAGTTTCACTGAAGGAAACCTCTGTGGGGTCAGTGCTGCAGGATGGAGGAGGGTCTGTCTCGGAGGCCCGGCCTGTGCTGACGAGGAGCCCCTGCCTCGGTGGCCAGGGCCTCTTTCTCAAGCTGGGCTCGTTGCCGGCACAGGTGGGAGGGCTCACCTGGCTGAGTGGAAAGGTGTGTCTGTAGGGTTGACCAGGCTGGAGGCTACTCAGGTCAAACAGCAGCAGGGAGAGCTTGTTGCTGTCCAGGACGTCCTTGTCATAGAGGGTGAGCTCCAGGACGTTCTGGGGACAGGGCAGGAGCGGGGAGCCTGAGGCCGGGCAGGAGGGCGGGCACCCTGGGGGAGCCCTCTCCCTCGCTGGCTCTCACCTTCACAGCACCATGGATCCGGTAGTTGAAGGTCTCATTCCACTCGGGGTCACTGCAGTTGGCCACCACCCTCGTCTGGGCAGGGCTGGGGGACGCCGTGGGCAGCCACAGTTGCACGTAGCAGTCAGCTTTGGACACTGTAGGTGGGATGGGGAGGGGTCCTCAGCCTCTAGCTCTTCTTGCTGACAAGGTTGCCTGGGGGAGGCTGGGGCTGGATGGGAAGGGGGAAGGGCTGCCAAAAGAGCAGGGTGGGCTGTGGAGTTGGGGGAGCGCCGATGTCCTCCATCTCCTCAGCCACACCTCCCATTCAACTGAACAGAGCTCCTGCAGCAGCCAGTTGAAAAGCTCATGTAGCAGCACAGACCATTGAGTGATTCCCGGAAAAGGCCTGATTCAGGAAACAAGCTCCCACCCAGTGTGAACACTGGCATGGAAACTCCTAGAGAGCAGCTGGTGACTTCTGGCAACAGCAGGCCTCGCCCGCCCAGGCTGGCGCCGCTCCACTTGCCCGACTTAGGGAGGAGGCCGTGGTCTGCACGCTCCCCTCCCCTCCAGCCCCCGCCTGCCTGCCCGGGGCTGTAGCCTGGGCCCCCTCAGCAGACAGGCCTCCCTCGGTCCCACTCCAAATACACATGCCCACTTGAGGCCAGCCTCTGCTGAGCTCTGAGGAGGCCCCAGGGAAAGGAAGGGAGAAAGTGTGGAATTGGGGGTCACTCACACAGGTCTGCGCCCCGGATATTTCTGGCCATCAGCACCTTCACCTGGAGGTCATAGTATGGGTGGGTCTCCCACTGAAAGGACAGAACTCCGGGGACTCAGTTCCAGGAAGCGGCTGTGGGGCCTGACCTCCCTGCTGTGGTGCCCACCTCAGCCTTCCCCCATCCCATCACAGAGCGGCAGTCTGGCCCGGGTCGCTGGTGTCACTGTGCCAGGAACCTGGGAGGCCTTGGCAGAGCAAGTGCTGGGAGTTCAGCATGTTGGCGATGAACCTGACCTTGGAATCAGCCAGGCTGGGTTCAAACCTAAGCTCCACTGTGAACTAGCTGAATGGTCCTGGGCAGTCAATGGTCCTTGATTTCCCTGTGCTGTAGTTTCCCCATCTAGAAAGGGGGGGCTTAGGATGACAGTCTCATGGGGTCGTGGTGAGTTTTAAATGAGAAGTCGTACAAAGTGCCTGGCGTAAGTTCTTAACACATGCGGCCATTTTTACTAATTATGTTTATTATGCACCACAGACTTGCTGCTCCCCTTGGGCTACAGTCCTACCGCTATTGCTTGAGAGCAGAAGTGACAGCAGCAGTAATGTGTTTAAGGAGGTTAAGTATTAAAAGAAAACCTTGTTTCTATAAATATTTTGTAGTTTTCCCCCAATAAAGTTTGTTGGGAAAAAAAAAAAGACCTGTGATGGGCCCCACCCACGGGCCCCCGCCCAGGAGTGGGCAGCAGGTGAAGGGAAAGCACAGTCACTCAGCTGGTACTGGTCTGATGAGTTGCTAGGGAGACTGCAGCTTGGGCTCAGGAGAACAGCCAACTGCAGCCTCCTGGGAGTGCGGCCGTCTCCTCGAAGTCCCAGCCAGTGCCTTATTTCTCCCACCCTGTCAACCACCCACCCTCACTCAGCAGCCAGGCTCTGGCCTTCTGGGCAAAACCCAACCACCTGCAAGTGTCACATGACCTTGCCCTCCACTTCCTAACCAAGAGTGATTATGTAAGATTATTATTACTAAATGGTCAAGCTCTCTAATTGAACCTCCACCAGGTTATCTGGAACAAATTGGTCCCGGCCCAGATCCAGACATATTCCCGGGGCTGGCCTGTCTCCACAGGGGACGCTGCTCCCATGACTCCTGCTGTCCACACCCCCAGGGAAGATCGGGTACTTTACCCGCCACTGCCTCCAATGAAGTCCCCTCTTCTCTCTCTTCCGCAGCAGCACTGAACCCAGGAGGGGCATCCCCCTTGCCTGCCAGCCACCTTGGCCAGAGCGCCCAGAGCATGGCCAGGCAGCCCAGCTCCCAGGAGGAAGTCCTGCTTGTGTGCGTTCCAGAACCACCCTGCACTCCTTTGATTACATTCACTGCTGGCTCAGGTCTGACAGGTAGTGCTGGGGTGGGGAGGGTGGAGCTGGCTGCTCTGCTGGGGCTGGAGGTGGGGTTTGATGTGCTCTGGGAAGTGACTAGAGCCCCATTTTCTCAAGCAAGAGGCACTTCAGATCCTTTCCAAGAGGATGAGGAACCAACATCCTGGTTCCCAAACCCAGCCCCTGGCTATCATTGGGCTGCTTACGGAATATAGATGCCAGATGACTTGATTCAGTGGGTGTGGGTAGAACTCAGGTGTTCATTATTTCAAACAAGCCTTTCAGATATTGACCCAGATGGTCCAGAAAGTGCTGCCTAAGGGGCTAGTCTCCCCTAGCTAGCTAAACAGCCTAAACCAGCGCCTTTCAAGTCTCATCTTTGAAAGAATAGGAAACTAACAAAACGGCTTCCTTGATGCTAAAGCTGTTTGCTGATTCATTCTGACTTAAAAATTTTTGCACCCTGTTTTACTTTTTTCTTTGACAAACCCCCATCTCTGCTTCAGTTGCTTAACTACTTTTGTGCTAAACAGCCCCCAACCTTTCCATCACATTCTCCACTCCCTATACATTCTTTACCCAGAATAGCTTATCCTTTAACCCAGAGCTGTATTCCAGAAAGGTGGTCACGGGCTGATAGCCTCAGAAAAATGAACAGACCCTCTGAAGTTTCTCCATGACGCCAAGCGGATTCATCAAGATTAAGAAGAATGCAGCAGCTGGAAAACACCTTGATTGCTGTCATATTTCTCTTCCATCTGGTTTTTCTATAAAACCTCAGGACACCAACCCCAAGATGGAGTCAGTCCAAGGCATTAGCCTGTTGACTCCGCTTTGCCTGGCAAAGCAATAAGGCTGTCCTTTTCTAATTCTCTCAAAATTCTGCCTCCGAGTCTCAATTTGGCCATTGGGGTACCCTCCCACAGCTCCTAAACAGAAACATGGAAATTTCTGGTTCCCTACAGTTTCATCTGGACTCCGAGGTGTTCCTAATCTCTCACGGCCTCCCTCGTTTGTTCTCCAAACACTGAGAGGCTGCTGTGTGCCAGACACTGCCCTAGGACCTGGATATAAAAGTGAGGAGGGCCCAACCACATCTTAAAGAAATTCAGACTCGTAACTCCCTGTGGCTTCTGCCGAAGCCCCCTTCCTGAACCAGCAGAAATACCTCAATGGTCCAGGAGCAGAAGTAGGGATATGGTCAGATGGTATCAATAAAGGTAGGTAAAAACCAGCCTGCCTGTCTTAAGCTACTAGAGAGAAAGTCTTCAGAGTCCCTTTTGATCATTGTAAGCCTCAGGCTGCAGACGGGGTGTGACCTCCCCTTTTCTGTGATCCACAACCATCTAGGTGGCCAAGATAGGCACTCTTTCTGGAAGAAAGGATTTCTAGGGCAGTGAGCTGTCGGGAGATACATTTCTGTTCCTCAACCAAGACCCAGTCATCTCTGCTCATCTCCTCAAGGCCCAAGGTGGAGAATGAAAAAATGACATCCAAAAATGAGGTGAATCAACTCAAAAATGAACCCTGCAGTCAAGTTCACACCAGAAACTCCCAGAACTGCTGTTGGCCAGGTCCCAAGGGGGTGGGCCTGTTTCTGCTTAATTTGGAGCGTGAGGCCAAGACCGGTGCTGGTGTCCCAGAAATGCCAGAGTCCATCCCTCTTGGGGATGTGTACGCAGAACGTCTAGGCCACAGCAGGGAGCCTGAGGGAGGGGCAGGGAGCTAGCCGAGGGCAGGGCCAGGCCTGGCGTCCAGGGCTTCTGACGGACCTGAGTGCTTTCTGGGCTGTACCACACTCTCTCCTGGAAGTCATCAGCCCCATGCCTCAAGGAAGTCATGCCCCTTCATTCCCGATGTTTTTCACTCCCAGAGAAAACTCAGGATGGCCGCAGAAGGATCAGATTGCCTTTTTGGAGCTGGCCAAAGTGGGCCAACACCTCTCCGCTTCTCAAGCACCCCTCAGTCCCACCGACTCCCCACCTGTCACGCTCCTCGTAGTCACTGTGAGCTGCAGGAAGAGGAACTAGGCCCTAGTATGTGAAGTGAAGGGGAAATAACTAGGATTAGCTTGAGTCCCAATGTGCCCATTACACTTTGAGGTGCTGGAAATATTCCACTTCTGTACTGTCAACACTTCAGCCACCAGCCACAGCTGTACTGAACAGCACAGATCCAGACATAACAGCGCACGTAACAGAAGTGCCACGTATATTTTTTTTTCCTTAGTTACTAATTGGCTTATTCAATTCTTAAATTATCCTCTTATTGTTATTTTCACCAAATTCCACAGGAAAGGGGGAAAAGAGACCCAAACAGGCTGTTTCTTACTTCATGGTGTTTATTATGGGAGCTCTTCATCAGTTCTCACTCTAGAGTGTTTACTTCCAGCCTTCTCCACGCCCTCGAGGAGGGCGGAGTCTGGGGAAGGAGACCAGAGCTCAGGAACACGGAGTCGTTTTTGTATTCCAGAAGGGAAGGAAACACACGTCTTTACTCTATTGCTTCAAACACGGGCGCCACACAGGTGGTGGGAACAGAAGATACAAATACAGCAGGCCAGGAAGGCAGGGTGCATGGGTTGGGCCAGTTTCTGCTGCACAGCGTGGGGCTGGCCTGATGATTCTGCTGCTGCTCCAGGAGGAAGCTTGGTCCAAGCTGGTGCAAACAGGGCCCAGGGCAGCACTGCTTCCGGGGGGTGGGGCACGTGGCCAGTTGACCCTTCATGGACAGCGTGCCTGGGAGCAGCCTTGTCTATACCACCAGCAAGTCGGGCTACAACATAGGCCCCAAACAGTACGGTGCTGCGGTTTAAAAAGGATCTCAGCATGTCAACAATAGGCCACTAGAAGAGTGTCAGTATTGGGCACTGTCACTCACCCTCATAACCGTTAAAAGACAGTTGGGGCAACAAGACAGTGAATCTGCAAAACCCCAGGGAGGGCAGGATGCAGAGCGCTCTCCCTGTGTGTCCTCAGCCTGCACTCTGGGCTGTCCCCAAGCACTTCACAAGCACGCCTGACATCACGTCATTGTCAGTTCCCAGTCTGATCATTCCTTGTGAGCAGCAGAGATCCCCTACCTACAATATCCCAGCATAATCCTCCAACTCCTACAAAACAAAGCTGGAGAACAACAGCCAGGCCAGGCTGTCAGGTAGGTGGGTGACACTGGCTGGGGAGAGAAAGATGCCCAAAGCACAAAGCATTCTGCTCATAAAGCCTTAACCAACCTGCCCTGGGTGGCTGGTGGATGAACCAGGAGCAGGAGCCCCTGCGGGCATCTGCCAAGAGGATATATACCCAGGGCTAACCCTTAGAGCTACCATCACACTTGGCCCCGAGGGACCAACAATGATGCTCTCCTAAGCTTCTAGGCAGAGAGCATACAGTCCAAAGAGGATCTATTTACATCCTTGAAAATCAATTTTCAATTAGTCCTAGAAACTGGGACTTCCTCCTGCTTCTCATTTTACCTTTTTTGAAGTATTAGTTATTTCTGGTGTCAGGAAAATGGGAGAGAAAGCCTGAGTGGTAGTGAGGGGAGAGATAAGTGAAGAAAATAAATAGAAAAGGAGACTGAAAATTAAAGAACCGCGTGAGGAGACTGGTGGGGGGACACAGGGTCTGGCGACCACGGCGACCACCAGCGTTACCTGGAGGACGGGCCATTTGGCCTTTGCAGCCAGAGGGGCTCTAGTACTGCTCTCCTCCCAGGACCCCGGCGCCCAAGCCGAGGGCGCCTGTGAAGCCCTGCACATGTCTCAACAGAGAACTCTGAATAAACAACCCCAGCGTTACAAACACTGGAGACAGTTTCCTTGTTGAGGTGATTGGAATGCAGAGGCAGGATGGTGCCCTTCCCCACCTCCTCCTGTCCAAGCAGGTACTAAATTCTTCAGAACTGCCTGCAACAGAATGGAATACAAGGTGTAACTAATCTCTTTTTCTATTAAAAATCTGGCATCACCAGAACACGAATCTGATTAATTCCGAGATGTTCCAGGGCACAAGGGAGCCAGTGGTGTCCAATCAGGGAGACGCCTGGTGGTGGCAGCAGCCCCGATTCCCAAGGCTGGGGCCCTCCCTGCTCTGGGAGAGCTGAGCTGTCCGCTGCTCAGTCCTGGGCTTGCTGGGCTCAGGTATCAGCTGGGTTGACCTCTTTGGAGCAGAAGTAGTGCACGACCACTCCGTTGGGGTATCTTGCAAATGCACTGCAAGGAAGGAAAAGGACTCAGGAGGGAGGACTGCGTCTAAGACTGCTTCTTACCGGAAAAGGCCCTCTCCCGGAAGCCAACCCAGAAGCAGCCCATTCTAACCACAAAGAACAGCCTGGCCCTCGGGTCTCTGGATTTATGGGGCCATCATCTCAAATAACTGAACAGAGGGAGAGATCCATGCCATTTGAATGGATGGGGATATTTCCCGTTGTCATCAGTGTGCAATACACAGGCAGATGGGGCAGCACCCTGGCCTGGCTCAGCAGGGCTTACTAAAAGCCCACTGCTCATGACAAGTTTTGGGCTGACTCTGACAAAGGACAGCCAGTCTTTCTAAAGAAAAGGATTCTTCCAGCCATTAGGAGAAAAAGGACAAATCACTCCTCTTTGAAAGAAAGGGGATTGAACAGAGTATATGCCTTAAAACAATGACGCTGGCTCAGGATTTTACTCAAGTCATGAGGCAGCAAGTTAAAAGACCTTCCTCCTTCAGAGGTATATTCTTACAAGATATGGACCTCCTGCCCACACACCTTTCACACACTCACTGCCTATGTCACAATGTTTAGCTGCCAGAGGGGAAGGGCTTTATGGGCAAGAAGTCAAGAGCCTAGAGCCTCATGCCATACATTTCAGGCCTTTAAATTCTCAAAGCCCACCCCCAACAGATGACCTGGACGCCCTTTGGAGGCCCAAGAACTAAAAGTGGCCAGGACAGTCAGCAGCCTGCCTTCCTCTTCGGGTAAAGGGCAGAAATCCATCCTGTGCGACCCACAGCAGAGAGGACGCTGCGCACTGTGGAGGAGGCTCACCTGTTGCCAATCTTCTTCTTACAGACCATGCACACCTTCTCCTCCGTGATGATGCACTTTACCTGCTGGTGTAAAATCCGCTCTTCCTGGACCTGGGAGAGCAGAGAGATCGGGCGAGAACAGAAAGAGGAGCTGGCACTGTCTCATCTCCCAGCCCACAGACATTCCCCTCAATGAAACAGTTGCATCTAAGTGCCCAGTTAGTTGGTCGTGGGCTAGCTTGCACTACAGCGTTAAGGAGCACAAGGCTCCACCTTCATCTACAGGGATCGCGGTGACCTCGTACTGAAAAGTGCAAGCCCGCCCTCACGTCTGGAAGGCTCATACCCTCAGGAACTCTGCATGGAGAAGGTTCTTGAGCACTTGATTGAACCGCTTCTTTTGCGCATTCTCTTCCAAGACCTTTTCTAGAAAGATGCGTATATCATTAATCTGAGTGTTTGCTGGCAGGAGGTTGATGGCCTAGGGACGGAAGAGAGAAGGCAACAGGGTAAGGCAGGACAGGAAAGAAAGGGAGGAAATGCCTGAAGTCACAGAGGTCTGAACTCCAGTCGCTGCTCCGGTCCCCCTTCCCATTCACTGCTCCCCTCCATCCCACCTCCCTGAGCAGAGCTGACCTTGGTGGTGTCCAGTTTGCTGTGGTGCAGCTCGAGGACCTGCAGGGCGGCCTGGAGGTTGGCCTGTGGCTCCAGCAGTTCCAGCTTGATTGGCCCCAGGCAGTGCACGCTGGGGGGTGACAGGTACATCCGGAGCAGGGACAGATACACCTGTCTCATACAGGTATAAGCCACGCACGTCAGGCTGGCAGCAACCCTCCCAGAACCCCCAGCATGAAAACCTCTAAAGGCAAGAGGGCTGGTCTACAGGAACGGCTACCACAGAGCATTTAAAACTCATTTTCACCTTTCAAAAAATTTTGTAAGGGCATAGGTATAACTCAGTGGTAGAGCACATGCTTAGCATGCATGAGGTCCTGGATTCAATCCTCAGTACCTCTATTAAAAGAAATTTTTTTTTGGTAAAGTTAGTCAACTGAAGATGTCAAAAAATTAAGGATTGTGTTTTCTCTGAGAGAGAGAGAAAAAAGCAAACGCCATACGGTTAGCATTATACTGTTGACAAAATGCCAACACTGCAAAATGACTCAAAGAGATCCTTCTTTTCCTTTGGCCTTGAAGGCTGAGACCCTGTAAGGTTTTGGCAGGTGGGGATTAACCCAAGATGAGAAGCCACATTTCCTACTGGTACTCACACCACAGGGTTTCTCAACCCTAGCACTCAACATTTTGGGCCCGGTAATTCTTTGCTGGGGCTGTCCTGTGCGTGGTTTCACAGCAACTCCGGCCTTTGCCTCCTAGATTCCAGCAGCACTTCCACCCCCAGTCATGGCCACCAAAAACGTCTCCAGACATTGGCAAATCCATGTGCAATCTCAACAGAGCACGTACGTGCACCTTATCAGAACCATCAGATGCTCCTAGTCAATAGGCTGACCACGTCATTTATTATACAAGTCAGGACTCTTTCACAAGTAAAGAGTCAGGGGTGCTACTACGAATAATCACAATAATCCCAAGCAAACCAGGACCGTGGTCACCAGTCTCTCCCTCAACATGCACATACAAAATCAATCAGCGCATTGACCGAGGCCCTGTCTTGTCTTAGCAATTCCTACCAGTGGCTACAGCAGAGGGGGGGTCGCTATGCTAAGAGGGATAGTGGAATGCAACACGTTCCCTGGGGCGGGCTCACTACTTACATCTTTGTTGCCATCTTTGTTTCGGTCATAATGCTTGTGGCAATACCTGCAAGGGAGAAGGGGGTCAGACAAAGCCATGTCTAGAAAGAGGGCATTGATGCTGCCTGTGAGAGCAGCCCCACGACAGCAACACCGAGGGCCAGCACACAAGGTGATGCTCGCTCTCGCTGCAGAGTGGAGGGGTGGCTTTCTTGGCCTCCCATGTCTCACATCTCTCTGGGAGGCCTCTCTTAGACCCTTGGGAGGTGGGACGACAGGGTCAACGTACTCTTCAGCCATCCTGGTATCCTTCAGGATGTGGACATAGATGAAGAGAGCTTGTTCGTGTTTCCCCATGCGTCCCAGGAGGAGAGCACGCTCTTCTAAGAGGCCTGTGGGGAAAAAGGAGTTTAAGTAACCGTCACCACCACTGGGCAAGTCCAAGGACAGGGGCCAAGTGATTAGAGGAATGGATATTGGGGAGATACAAAATGGGAAAAAATATTTTTATTACTTGGGATTTTTTTCAGGAAGAAAATTACTAACATTTTTAGACGGGAGGGGTGGAGGGAGCTGTTTTAGGAAGTGCTTTATTCCCTTTTTTGTGATCACTTACAAATGGGGTAAGAACACCCGACCATCAGCCAAGTGCACAATAAGCAGCTGCAACATACCAAGCACTTAAGCTAAGGTAAGCGCACACCGGGTCTCTGCGCTCACGGAGTTTATACATCAGACAGACACGTCTTTTTCACACAAATTATGGCACATTACAAAAACTGCTGAACAATGAACTTGGCCAAGAATATGTACTGACGCAATAAACAGGTTTCAACCTGGCCATCGCTTAACATGTGGTTCACACCCAAAAGAGACACCTCTTAGTCAGGTTACAAAAGAGAGTCTTCAGAGGGGCCAGAACAGGAGCTCACCCTGAAACACATGCTTGTCCCAGGCCCACCAACTTGGAGGGCTGGGGAGCTGGTAAGAGGGAAAGATCAGTTCCTGCATTTCCTTCTGCTGAAGTGGCTTCTGGACCTAAGCCAGACACTCACCATCAAAAGGAAAATCACAGATGAGCCGGCCTGGATCATAGTAGCTGGAAATTTCCAGGAACATCAAGAGCTTCTGTCGGTATTCTCCCAGCTCCCCTCCTCCTCTCCAGCGGGGACTGGAGTTTTGCCTTTAAGGGAAACCAAGCTCAACGTGAACGGATGCTGTCGGGAAGCAATGGGGGGGTCGTCAAAAAAGATGAGGGGGTGGGGTTCAATGATGCCACCACAGTGGTCAGAAGGGTCTCTGTGATGGTTTTTTGTGGACTTCACTTATTTTCTGGTCTTTAAGTGGCCCCAAAACATCAGCTTGAGGTGGAAAAAAAAAAACCCAAGCTGCTTAGAGAACCACTTTGATAAATAAACCTGTTTCTTATCAGCACAGCTGTCATTCTGCAGACAGATCAGCTTCCTCCTCCTCCCAGGGTGCCACCCAGAGAGGCTCAGAGATGCCTCGATCCAGACACAAGCTCCTGAGTCTCTCGTGCTGGGCAGTTAGCTGCCCTGGCTCCTCTGAGCCACCTCCTGCCCACCTGGGCCTATGGAGAAGCTCGGGTCCCAGCTCACCTCTAAGGCCCAGGGCCACCTGGCTTTCTGAGGACTGGTACCTGCAGGGAAGGAAAGGAGATACTCCTTCATCAGACCTTGCACCTTTTCACAGTACAGCTGGATCAGGCAGTTGTGGAACCGAGAGCCTGTCTCCTCCCAAACATGGATGATGTGTTCCTGAGGGGAGACACACGGGTCTGCCTGGTACCCTCCATGCCGTGACCCAGCCCAGTCTCCCAAGTTCCCTCACATTTTTAAGGGCCGACAGTTCCCATCCAGATTGTCCCCTAATTAAGCCATACAGATCACCGAAGGATAGTTCTAAAACCACTGGGAAATTTCATAGTACAACCCAGCAATATCAAGAATTACTGTCTTAGATTTCCAATCTAAGCTCCTTTATTAATTTTGTCTCTCAATCCTCCAAATCAGCCCCTGTAATTAAGGTTAAACATTTGCATTCTGGTACTTAAGACTGATCTGGTTGTCCTCTGGTCACAGCTGAGTCTGGCCGTACAAATATGGCTTTGAAATGTTCTTCTTGAACATCATTCTCTTTTATCCCTCTGTACGTTACCTAGATTTAGAAGGTAGCATCAAAAAGTGACATTTCCAGCTTGGTCTACTGGGATCTCTTTCTTCAGAGAAGATTTAAAGAACCCTCTTCCTTACATTCCTTCCAGTCCCCAAGGGACACAAACCCCAATCTGAACTTGCTAATCAGTGACTCATACCATCCTGGATCCAGGGTTTGGGTTTGAAGCTTTTTAGTTCAGACCAAAAAATAGCTTACCAGATACGGAATAGCCAGGCCCTTAAAATTCTCCACTAAGAAGCCAAGCACTCGGTCTCGTGGCAGAGACTCCACCTCTGGGAGGTCTTCAGTAAATATCTGTTGGAACAGAATCTGAGTTCCAGCATCTGAGAGCAATTCTTCCAAACGCACGTGCACACACATATAGGGTCAAGTGGACAGACACTGAAGCAGGAAAGCACACAAGAGGGCATCTGTAGCCAGTTAGTGTGGGGCAGACTAGCTTTCAGGTCCCCTGACGTCTGTGCAAGGCTCTTTCCACTCCACTGTTGTCTCATGTTTCCCATTCTACTCTTGGAAACACCAGGGAAACTGCATGACTCCTTCCACCCCTCCGTTCACCACTGTCCTATGTAGAATCAGGACCAAACGTGGTGCCAGATAAATCCAAGGGACTCCCATGACCTACCTTCAGGCCATCCTCTGGGAAGTCTCTCAGCACCCACACCGAGTAGGAAAAAATCAAATGCAGGTTTTCTGTGCCTAGAGGGAAAAATAAGACTTGTCAGCAGATGAAGCCCACCCACCCTGCCCACAGGACTGGGAGGGCAGGTGCCCAGGCTGCCTCAGGATTTATCTTTCAGTAAAGATAGCTCTGTTGGAGTACCAGTTGCTCAGGGCTGCTCGGGCTGACCAGGTTGGCTACACACCACGGTCCTGTCACGGTTCCACCACTAGGGGACTTTCACCCCAGCTGGAGGCACCATGTTGGGTAAACAAAGGTAGGGATGGGACTGACTAGCCAGAATCAGAAGAGGAGAGAGATCAGGCCCACCTGCACACAGTCCCTTCCCCGCCCCTCTCCACAAGCCGGACTTACCCAGATGCTGCAGGTACTGCACCGTCCTCTCGTGGCCTTTCAGAGGGGAGTTTGCTTTCTTGGACTGGTCCACCAGCACCTGCAGAGCTGGCCACGGAGCCCAAAAACAAGATCATGAGCCCCTTCCAGAAGGCCCATCTCCATGGCAGAGTCATCGCACCTCAGTAGGCTTCCCTCGTCAACATACAAGAGACCCTCCCGATCAAAGATACCCCATCACCTTTCTCATGGAGCCCCTTCTTCTCGTACAGGATTATCAGTTCACTGTACTTGTGAGCCTTCTTCAGCACATGTTCACTCTCTTCGATGTGGCAGTGATTGTTCTCCAGGCGCAGCAAGGGGGCCACCAGGGCCACGTTCGTCTGCAGAGAAGGCAGGACTTCAGCAGGACCTGCTTCCTGGGGGGCCCCACCCTTTCCCAGCACAGTTTATGCTCTTTCACACAACATGTTTTAAGGGTTTTTTTGAGGGGAGGGCAGAGGAAGTGAACATTTTCTTTGAGGAAATACTATCCTGTTCACCTTGTAGCACTAACCCCAATCCTAGCAGAGAAGACCAGCCCACTGTAAGATCCTGTGTAAGTACCTTGCCTTAGCCCCTCAATTCCAAGAAGCTCACAGATGTCAGGCCAAGAGGAGGTGGTTTCCGTCATCAAAGACTTCACTCCTACCATCACAGACCCCAGCGTGGCACCTTCCCAGTTTCAGGGGGCTGGGGGACCGTGGGTACCCGAGTGTGTGGAGAACTCACATGGAGGTAACACTTGAGCAGGGTGGTGTCAATGATCTGCAGCAGCTTCTTCTTGGATTTGATGGTAGGAGTGCCTTCCATGAGCGGGGAGGTGCTGGACTGGTGATCGGAGTCATTCAGCTTCTTTACCAGTTGGCTTCGTTTCTGGAAAGGCCAAAAATGTAGGGTCCAAGGCCAGGACTAAATCTTCCTTTATCACCTGAGCTACCAGGCAATTCCAAATACCTCCAAATCAGCTCACCTAGCTACCCTGATCTCACATTAGCATTCAGTTTTTATCAGGGATCAAAGTGGATGACTGACAAACTGCCAGACACAATAACAATTATTTATTGAGAATTTACTACAGACCAGACACTATGCCAAGCACTTTATATATTATCCTATTTTAAACCTAAAACAAACACAATTATTAGTGCCCCCATCTTACATGTGCAGAATCCAAGGCATAGATGCTAGACACCTCATACATGGCCAAGTGGCAGATTTCAAATTAAGTCCTGATTCCAAAGTCTAAGTTCTTTTATTCTTTTTTAAACCAACTTTATTGGGATATAAGTTACATGCAATAAAATGTACCCTTTAAAAGTATATTCATTTTGACAGATATACACATGCATGTAACCACCCCTCCAATCAGGGAACAGAACATTTCTGTTATCCCAGAGGGTTCCCTTGTGCTCTTCCCTAAGAATCTCACCCACTCCCCCGCCACTGATCTGATTTCTATCACTAGGGATGTACCTCTCCTAGAACTTCATGTAAATGGAATCATCCAGTCTGTACTATTTTGTGTCTGGTTTCACATGTGTTACCATCTCTGTGGCACAATGCCGGTGGCAGTTACCTTCACACACTGCAAGTGTCAGAGGAGACCAGGGAAGAACGTGTGCTTAGAGTCCTAAAGCTAAGATAACTGCAAACAGGGGGTCTTCTGCGATGTCTCGGGCTTGGGAGACTTTCTGCCCTGGAAACCTTCTTCGCTCGGCACATGGGCTGTGCTGTGTACAGACAGAGGCAAGTTTGTGTGCTCTCTGCAGGCTGCCAGCCACAGCTGGGCACCTCTGGTGCCTGATGTCAAGGAAGTGCCCAGGGTACACATGCCTGACTGGGCCTGCAAGACACTCACTGGCCCGGGAGCAGGTTGTGGGAAGCTGGCTTACAGTTTTCCTGGCAATACTTCTCATGCCAATCTGGGGACCCCTTATAACAAATCTGCAGACCACTTACGGGAAAAAATAGTAAGTTCTCTGACTCTGAGTAGGTACACAGGAAATAAATAATAACCTTCTGCAAAGAAATTTAGGGTTCAGAGGCTTCAATGGAGATATTAGTTTTAGTGCTGACTCGAAAATTTCATTTATCTGCCCATAACAGTAAATTGGAAACAATTTAAGTCTAAATACTCCCCCTAAAAAACCTGTTATAGAAGGATATTTAATGACAGGGAAGGACTTTCCTAATACATAAAAGTAAAAGTAAGCTATAAAATAATATATAGTTTGATATCCATTGGTAATAAATAAACCAATTAATAAATAAACAAAAACTATTCACGATTACATATAAAAGTCTGGAAAAATGACACTAAAATGTCAGTTACTTTTCTCTGGGTGGTAGAGTTATAGGTGATTTTTATTTTTGCTTTATACTTTTCTGTGTTTTCCAAGTTTTCTGCATAGAGTAGATATTTTCTCCCCTAAGTATGTATGTTCCAAAAAAGTTTGGTTCAAAAAACTTATTCTTTTCTATCAACTAAACTTTTTTCTTTTTAGTTCCTCTAATAGCTTAGTATGAATTTACCAGGAACTGAGTGTGTTTCCTAGTATCAGGATTTGGCAAAAAAGAATTCAGTGCTATCGTTAAGCAGAAAGATGAAGCAGAAACAAATGAGGCCCCCTGCCTCCAACTTCTATAGTGTTCATTTATGGAATACCTGTGGCATTACAGACTGCCCTCAATGCGCTGCTATAGAGAAGCAGGTACTGGAACTCCCAGGGAAACTCTTCCACACACTTCTGTATCAGACCTACCTGCGTCAGGTAGTCAATCAGAGCCAAGTGAGCCTTCTCCAGTTCAGCCCCAGAGAGCACAGGCAGTGGGTTAGGATACTGCAGCTGCTTCCTGTAGTCCGTGGGCAGCAGGTCAGGGTACAGGCCCATCACATGGGTAGGATCTGCATGGATTCCCCAGAAAGGAACACAGCAATTTAAGGATAAACTGAAACAAGACTAGTACTACAGCAAAATAAGTTTCAGACTGATTTTTTTTAAAGGAATAACTCCAGGTTCATAAAAACCCAATGAATCATACACATATAATTTGAGCGCTATTTTTATATTTATATGTATATTTCGCTGAAACATTACAAAAGTGGCACGACTCTATATTCCAACACATACATAGAATTAGAATTGAAAATTCACTAACTTGCTAAAAGTAGGGGAGAAAAAGATTTCCCAAGGGGAAACTTGTAAGACACTGAAGTTGAAAAGATCAACAGATATAATATTTTTAAAATGACAAAAAGGAGTATTAGTAAAACAAAAAGATCATGTAACAGGCTGGGGAATACATCTGCAGCACATATGGCAAGAGGATAACAGGTCGATTAACAAGAAACAAATTCCCACAAATTGGTAAAAAAAAAAAAGATTTCATTTGATTAAAGGGCAAAAGACATGAACAACTGACAAAAGAAGAATACACATTAAGTGGGAAAATGTTCTGCTACATTAAGAATCAAAGCAGTATACATTAGAAATGTCAAAGAGGTAACAGTTTTATATCCATTTAATTACTTAAAACCTTATTTTTATATGACACTACCTAGTACTTGCAATACTGTGAAACTAAATCACTCTTACATTGCTAAGGCAAAAATGCTGCTACTTCAATAAGGAAAAAAAGCACTTGGACCAACTAATCTCACTTCTAGGAGTGTATCCTCAAAAACAATCCAAAAGATGCGGGAGCGGGGCAGGGTCAATGCACCCAGTGAAAACCCCAGTCACTGCCTACTCCAGCCATAGCCAGCCTAACAAAGCCATCCAGCACATGTGGCTCCTACGCAAAGCCGTATCTTCAAGACCGGGAAAAGTAACTGTTATGTCTAATTTATGGAAACAAACACAGAAAGTCAAACAAACTGAGAAGACAGAGGAATATGTTCCAAACAAAGGAACAAGATAAAGTCTTAGGAAAAAACCTGGATGGAATGGAGAGAAGCAATTTACATGATAAAGAGTTTAAAGTAATAGCCATAATGATGCTCAACGAAACGCAGGAGAAGAATGGAGGAACACAGTGAGAACTTTAACAAAGAGAAAGTGTAAGAAAGCAAGCGTCAGAGCTGAAGAATATAATGACTGAAATGAAAAATACACCAGGGGGAATCAGTAACAGATTACATGATACAAAAGAACACATTAATGATCTGGAAGATAGAACAGTGAAAATTACCCGGGCAGAACAGCAAAAAGGAAAAAGAACTAAAAAATATGAGGACAGTTTAAAGGACCCTCTGGAACATCAAGCATACAAACATTCACATTATAGGGGTCCCAGAAAGAGAAGGAAGGGGCAGAAAACTTATTAGAAGAAATGATAGCTGAAAACTTTCCTAACCTGGGGAAGGAAACAGATATCCAGGTCCAGGAAGCACAGAGAATTTGAAACAATATTAACTCAAAGAGATCCACACTAAGACATATAAGTAAAGTGGCAAAAGTTAAAAATAAAGAGAATTTTAAAGA